CACGCTATAGCTTCATAGTTGCTAACCCTGTCTTTGTTCTCAGTTGGGCTTGCATCACCATTTTTTTCCTTTGGCATCTGTTCCTCTTTGTTTCATTTATCCCTCTGCATGATCATCGAATGGAGACCTAGATATCCATCAAGTGGCCTTTGGAATATATGACTATGCAGTCTTCAGTGTTGGGAACTTTGACCACGATGATAGAGTAACACTAGTTTGTGTTCTGCTGTTTTCCACAGGGAGGTGCTGGCCAGTGAGGCCATTCTTGGCATGCCTGAGCGGGCAGACTGGAGAAGCTGCCAGACAGGACGGGATGAAGAAATTGCTGCAGTTCAAGACTTCCGTCAAGCTTTTGAGCCCTTTGATTTTGCTCAGTCAGATTGAGTATCTGCATGGAAGTGGGAAAGCTCTCTTGAAGAATAGCTTTCCTTTGACACTTCCTGTCAAGTCATAGGAATTTTGCAGGGGTTGGAGTTCATTTTTCCTGCTGACTAGGTCATGAAGGAAGGCCTTTTATATGACAGGAACCAGTGCTTTCACTGAATATTATTTATTTATGAAGTCTTGCTGGTCTATAGTTTGGGCCTCATTTTGGCTGCACTTATTGGCCTGTGGCTTCCAGAAGGCCTTCGGATTTTCTTTTGCAGCTGACCTCTCTGTTCCAGCCAGTGAGTTTAAGAGCTATGAATCCTCCTAGATTGGAGAAATAGTTTAAGTCCTCTGATATTGGAGGTAGATTTGCAGTGTGCATCACACAGTGCCCCAAGTTCTTGTGCTCTGACAGTAAATCACTGCTATCCAGGTCATGCACAAAAAGAGAAGAATACAATCTTTGAAAGCAGTGGAAGCCTCAAATCTCTACTATATAAATAGAGGAGATGGTGAGAAGCTAGTGCTGGTTGCAAGCTGATTGTGCAAAGGGAAAACCATACACAAGCAAGGAGCATGTTAACTGTGTTTTATGAAAATAAGGGAAGTCAGATGTGCAGTGCAGACAAGCAATCACTGCTAACTCAAACTTTCTGTTCAGCTCTAAGTTTAGCTGTGGTTCAGTTTTTAAATAACTATATTGAGAGAGAGGCAGAGATTATGAATCCTAATGTCAAGCAAATTACTGGCTTAATGAACAGTCTTGGAGATTGGTTAAAAATATTTAATGGTTTGGTCAAATGAATATTTTTAATGAGAAGGTGTTATTTTAATACATGAAAACAGATAAAATATTTTCCTGTCAACTGCTGGCTAGCGTTAGCAGCTGGAAATAAAGTCATCTATATGAGCTTAGTTAAAATTTTCAACAAGTCTGTTACTTTTGAAGAAGCAATCATTATTTTTGAGGAAATTATAAGCTCATATATTACAGTAATAGAGTCATGTGGGGTCTGTTTCTTATGACTTATTTGGAACTTCTCAAATGTGACATAACAGCCTTTTAATTTACTTACATCTTTTTTAATATTTATTTTTTCAATAATTTCCTTGGACACCCTATTCAGCCTAGGAATCCAAATTGCAGCATCCAGTGAAGAAACGCCTCTTTCTAAATTAACTGGTTTCATTGTTGGGCTGTTCCTACTGTTAGAGCATTTTGCTAACATTCAGGCAAAATGGGCCCATAGGCATTGATTGGGGGTGATATGGTCACATTTTAATTAAGATAGAAGTTAAAATGATCTATTCACTGGTCTTCTCTGTTTTAATACATGGCTACAAGAGGTGGACTTTGCACAAGACTAAAAGTTTTGAACTAAAGTGCCGGAAGAAGCATACAAGTAGTCCTTAACTTATAATAGTTCATTTAATGACTGTTCAAAGTTACAGCAGCACTGAAAAATATAGCATATGACCATTTTTCACACTTATGACCATTGCAGCATCCCCATAGTCATGTGATCCAAATTTAGACACTTGGCAACTGACATATTTTTGACAGCTGCGTGTCATAAATGCGACCTCCTGACAAAATTGAGAAGCCAGATTCATGTTACTAACAACACAACTGCAGCGATTCACTCAGCAACTACGGCAAGAAAAGTTGTAAAACGGGGCAAAATTCACCTCACAACTATCTCACTTAGCAACAGAAATTTTGGACTCAATTGTAATCATAAGTACCTTTCTTCGTATTCCTTAGACAGCCAAGAGGCCCAGGCATTCGTTACTATAGAAACCAAGCCATTGGAAACAAGGAGACTGAAACAAAACCCTTTGCACTTTGGGCACATCCATACTGATGCCTCTGTGGAAAAGATAATACAGGTAGCCCTTGACTTACAACCACAATTGAGCCCAAAAGTTCAGTTGTTAAGTGAGACATTTATTGAGTTTTGCCCTGTTTTATGATCATTCTTGCCACAGTTAAGCGAATCATTGCAGTTGTAAAGTTAGTAACCCCGCTGTTAAGTGAATCTGGCTTCCCCGTTGGCTTTGCTTGTCAGAAGGTTGTAAAAAGTGATCACATGACCTTGAGACACAGCAATGGTCATAAACATGAGCCAGTTGCCAAGCATCTGAATTTTGATCATAGGACCACGGGGATGCTACAAAGGTGGTAACTTGAAAAGCTTTACAGTGCCGTTGTAATTGAATGGTCACTAAATAACTGTTACAAGTCAAGGGTTACCTGTATTGGGCAACGTGGATGTAAGGAAAACGAGGTCAGAGCATTAGGTGACCAGACGGAGTACAGAACAGGAAGTTTCAAGATGGTACCTTTAATAATTGTGTAATGCAACAAAAAACAGGACAGTTTGAAGAACTTCTATCCATAGAGACTCCGAAGGTCAGCTACAACTCACTGAGATATAATATACAACATCCTTCCAGGAACTTGAAGAACGTTATCTTATCCCTTTCCTTGCCTTTTCCCAAGACCATTTAATTCCATCAATCCTTCCTCATAGTTTTGAGTCCCCAGTCATTGTTGTTGCCCTTCTTTGTATCTTTTCCAGTTTATTTGAATCCTTACAGTGTGGTGCCTAGACCTGGGCACAGTATTCAAGGTGGGGTCTGATAAGTGTAGAATAAAATAGAATTACTTTCTGTTCTTTATTTGCATCAGGAAAGAAAACAGATGTACAGTTTGTTGTAATAATAGTCAAATGTGGTATTGTTATAAAAGCCTCATATCCAACCTCGTGTATATACTTGCAGCACACAGGATGTGATAGCAGAGGGTGGACAGATCCCACAAATCAGGAAATTGTCTGCTCATTGTTGATGTTGTCATACCAAAGGAATAAATTCTGTACATGTTGCATCTTTTCATTATTCAAATGAATTATTATGTTCCACTCAATCCCTCCTGGATTAGTTTTGTGGACAAATGTTTATCCTTGGCAATTTTCTGTCAGGATAGTATGAAGGTTCTGACAGAAACAGCCGGTTTAGCAGCAACTCAGTGTTTGCAGTGGATTTATATATCCAAAAATATGTAATATTTTGCATAGAAATACTTCAATGTGGATGCAAGGGGGAAACTTTCAGTTTTCTATTATGAAGGTCTTGAAGCCAACGTGCCTATTAATCTAATCTGAGTTTTAATTTGCACAAGTGTAAAACCAGTTTTTCAGAGTGAGCTACATTTTTGCAGTAAAAGTTCATGCTACCTGAAGCTTAAAGCTCAAACCACAGGAGTCTGAGGCAGAGTAATTTCCAGAGCAACGGTGAAGGAAAGGTGAAATTCTTTACCAGAAAAAAAGTATGTCCCAGCAGACTTGAACAAATGAGAATGATTTTTTTTCTGTTTTTTCTCTTGTTCTTTTCCATTGGTACACCAACTTTACAGTTGATGCCTATTTCTAAGAAGTGGGGTAGATGCAGGGGTGGGATTCTACCAGTTCGCACCTATTCGCTAGAACCGGTTGTTAACATTCTAAGCAGTTTGGAGAACCGGTTGTTAGAAGAAATTACTGGCCTAATCCTGTAAGGAAGGCAGGAAGGAAACATTCTGGTGTGGCTTACAGAAACTGCCTCTCCGTTAACCCTTATTACATTCTTGGCAGGACTAGACTTCCTGTCTCAGGAACTTCTCTGGATTTTTCCCCCCCTCCTTTGCTGGTACTTTGCTAGTGTGGAGTCACCATTTAAAATTACAATGGCACTGAAAAAAGTGACATGACCATTTTTCACACTTATGACTGTTGCAGCATCTCCACCGTCATGAGAGGCCAGGGGAGGAGATGTGTGCCTCGATGTGAGTGATATTGAGTTGGCCACACCCATCCAGTCACATGACCACCAAGCCATGTCCACTCAGTCATATGACCACCAAGCCACGCCCACAGAACCGGTTGTTTAAAAATTTGAATCCCACCCTTGGGTAGATGTAGTCTTTGTTTAGTGGCTGCCTCATTTAGAAACCATTTGCAGTTATGAGAGTGGTGAAAAAAGTAACTTTATGACTAATTCTTGCATTTACAACCTTGGCAGGTTTGTAAAGCAAAGGAAAGCTGAAATGAGATTGTAAGGAATAGTTCCTGACTGACAGCCTGTCATTTGGTAACCATTCACAGTCAAGATAGCCACAGAACAGTTGCTTTGCAGCTTGTAAAGTACTCACAGGCATTATAAAGCAACTGTGGATCTCCTTCCATACACATGACTGCATTTTGGGCACTTGGCAACCTGTTCGTATTTACAATGGATTGCCAAGTGCCCTCTGAACATTTGCAAACTTCTCTGCCAGCTTCAGGAGAAGCTGGCAGGAAATGCTGCAAACCGAACAAAAATATTTGGGGTTTGTTTTCCCAACATGCCGAGAGATTTTCCCCTCTGCACCATGTAGGTAGGGGAAATCCTGTGCACTGGACAAACAGACCTCACATCTGGCAAGAATGTTAGCTAAGCCAAAGAGGAGAAGGACACTAGCAAAAGAGGTGGGTTCTAATGGGTCTAAGGCCTCGCATTCTGAAACATGGAAGTTCAGAGCCTTTCAGAATGCTGACTTTGCTAGCGTTTTTCTCTCCAGAGGAGAAAATGTTAGCAAGGACCATTGTTACCATGTAATTTGGAAAAAGAGGCTTCCAAACCATTACGAGAATGGAGCCAGTGTATAGGATGGAGCAAGATGATGCAAAGGTAAATGAACTTAGGCATGCTGGGGCAGGAAAAGATCAGTGGGCCTGGCCACCCACCGCCTCCCAATGGACAACAGGTTTTGGTATGCAAGTGGGCAACAGGCCTCTTACGGTCTCCCCCATTCCCCCGAGGCATCCCTGCACCGTTGCTTAACAACTGCAACAGAGCAAGCTCAGATTGTGATCGTTAAAGGAGGCTGTCACGTGGGAGTATCACTTAACCACAATGACAGCCAAAATTCCAAACTCAATCGTGGTCATACATCAAGGACTGCCTCTAGTCCTACGTTCACTGCTAGAGACCGCTTCAGTGAATAACTGAGTTGCCAGTCCCAGATGTGATCACTAAATGAGGATCGCGTGTATAATGATATACTAGATCCAAATAAACAGGAAAAATGTAATTCTTTGAAGAACCCTCCAAGCTGGTATTTCCATGCTCTCAATATATCCCTTTTACTTCATGTTGCAAATTGACTTGGCTTGTCCGTTGTTGTTTTTTTAATGACAGTCCTTGGAGGTTCTGCTCACACTTTTTAAAAAGGGTATTTCTCCAGTGCACCCCAATTCTCTTCACTTCTGTTTCTTGAAGAAGGTGTTGCTCATTTTGTAGCACTTGGACTCCAGACTATGAAATCACAATAACCATTAGATCATATATGATCCATTTAGAAGATAGTTCTCCCAACTTTCGAACAAGAAAAAAAAAGACCTCAAACCAAGTTCTTTGAATCTAGAGAAACACAATAGCTGCAGGAAATAACAGATCTTGGAAGTGTGTGAAAGCAAAATAAATGAGCAATGGGGTAGAACAGGGATGCATAAAGGCGAACCTATAAACCACTCATTTTAATGGAAGCAAGGTTTTGGGGGTTGTTATGCTTCCAGAAAGTCCAGTTGCCTTTTGGGGGGGAGAAATAGCACCTTTGGGACAACCATGACCTGGATGACTGAGAATCTCCATAGACATTTGTGCTTCCATATGTTCAGTGCCCTCATTTTTAAGAATACAGCAAATGTAACTTTTGTAGGAACTGCATGTATTTGCCTGAAGCTGTAGGATCAAACTGTACATAGTCAAAGCTTTCCTGACAAAAACAGGAAACTTCCAGATGACTCATGAGCTGGTAAAAGATTTAAGATGCATGTGCAACAGGATCTGTTTTACTTGAGTGTGTTTGGCTAACTTCATTCCGCTGGATTTCTACATCTTGGGTGATGAAGCAGATTTCAGTCAATTCTAAGACTTCAACTCATGCGTTGCGCGATGGAGCCTTTCGGACTTACAAGTATTCTCCTGCTCTTTGGGACCTGCCTTCTTTTCATGGCAATCCAGAGAAAGACTTCTGAAAGGAGGAGGAGGATGCCTCCTGGCCCTTTCCCTCTCCCGTTAATAGGAAACTTTCTGCAACTGGATACCAGGAATTTCCCCAGATCCATGGAGAAGGTAAACAAACACAATGGAAATCTGGCTGGCTGGCTGGCTGGCTGGCTGGCTTGCTGGCTTGCTTGCTTGCTTGCTTGCTTGCTTGCTTGCTTGTAAATCAAAATTTACAACCGCATACATTATGTTAATATTGGTTTTCTAATCTTACAATTGTGATATTGTATATATAATAAACCTATTCATTTCTCCTTCTTAACATATCTTCTAATAAGAATATAGTGATAGTATTAAGCCTATAATACTAGCCCTTCCAATTCAAGAAAGAATGCATTATAACTACAGCAAGGAACTAGAAGGTGTAAGGTTATCATGGCAGGTTCATAACCAATTCTGCCTCCTATTAAATGGAAGAAAATCCTGCTCAACTAAGATCAGGCAGCAATGCACCAAGAAGCTCAGACTGGGTATATTTTCTTTCCTGACTAATTTGGGAGTGTCATTTCAGAGAGAACCTGTGCTGTTGTTGTGGTCTCACGCAGTTGAGTGAAACCCAGAGAAGTAGGGCAAGGGGGGAGGGGGGAAATGAGAAGGAAGTCAATATAGAAGAAGGGGTGAGAGGAAAACGCCTCTGGAAGAAATTCCCAGGTATCGTTCTGACAGAGGCAATCTTCACTGTTCAGTCTCATGCGCACATAACAGTTGGAAAGGGGTGAGGCAAAGAACATTAGACGATAGTCTGACTTTGGAGCTTGCCTTTGGAAGCTGTCGGAGCTTCCTCGCAGGAGGCTTTCAAGAAGAGACTGGACTGCCGTTTGTCAGAAATGGTGTAGGGTCTCCTGCTTGGGCAGGGGGTTGGACTAGATGACCTACAAGGTCCCTTCCAACTCTTAATCTGGATGAAGCCCTGTCCGTTGCCTACATGTAGCACATAACAGACTGATCTCTAGCAATGTGGCTGGAGGAGAAAAGTTGCCCTTTTAGAAAGCTCCTGGAGTGACTTAAATGATTGCAGCAAATTAATAGTCCCTTCATACAATTTTGAAATCTAAAAAGACATGAGAAACAAGGAGAGAAACAAGTTGACTCGGGTACAGGTATAATTCTGCCTGTAACACAGGTGTGGAGAAAGTTTTTCAGTCAAGAGCTGCAAGACATAACATATTTGGGATCACTGGGTGGGTGATGGAAAAAAGCAGGGTTAGGAGACCAGAACCAAAACTACTGTATATAGGATTGTTCTATTCCACCTGCATCCACAGATGAAACTTTGAGTAATATAGTTCAAATACTTTATGTAAACAAAACCGGAGTCAGAAGATTAATTGCTCTGTTATCACAGTCCTTTGGCAATCCTCCTAGAATCTGTCCGGCAATTCTGTAAAGCTCACAACGCAGTAAATCAGACGCAAGTCTTTCCAAGGCAAGATTCACTTTGTTTTCCAGCAAATATTTCAAAGTCATGCGCTTCTTTATATCCTCTAAGAAAGGGCGTGTTAGTCTCATTAATTAATCCTTTGCTGGACGTCTCTTTTCTAATTGAGATTGACGTCTCAATCTTCTCCTAGTTCTGGCATCCAGCCAGCATCTGGCAGTTTCATCACAGCTGGAATCCTCTGATACACTTTCCTGATTAACAGTTAACACCTGAGGTGCAATCGGGGAGGGAGTTCCAGAAGAGGAGGACGCCTCTGAAACTTCTAATAAATCAGGTTCATCTCTCAGATTCAAGTCCTCCTCTTCCCCCAGACTCCTCTCAAGGTCGCTCAGCAATGCAGGCTCGAATCTCAATGCCAGATCTTCTTCCTCACTCGAGCCCACATCTGCTGACTGATCAGGTTCAAGTCTCGGAGTCACAACATAGGATACTATTTTATCTTTTGGATACAGTTATTTTCCTGATACCCTCTTCCTCTTGCTGATATCCTTCCTAAATTTCTGGGCTGATGGGAGTTTTTATCAGTCGGCCTAAATTAATCTCTTGTAGACCAAATTTGAAAGTTAGGACCAAAGGTTGGCCATCCTTGTTCTAATTGCCAGCTCTGACTATGTCAGGTTGAGGCCCGAATGAAATTACGACATATTCCCCAAGCAACAGTCCTGCTGTCTTTCCTCAGAGATAATGCTCGTGAAGGAGGAACATCTCCAGTTGAGTAGAAATTAGGGCAATGGCAGTTCAAAGTGCATCATAGTCCTACCAACTACTCCATAGGAGACAAATCATGGTAAGATTTATGATTCTGATCTTTTGGACCTCAAACACAGAGCATATCCTACCCCTATAAAGTAAAAAAGTATTTTAAAAGATCAATAAATTCTTGTGACTGACCATAACTGTCAGTCACAAGTACTCCACTCCTCCAATCACTATAGAATTCCCTATGCTTCCAGGCTTGAAATTTTGAGCCTGGACAATCTGGAACTGCACCACCTGCGGTCCGATCTAAGCACAGTTCACAAAATTGTCTGCTATAACATCTTGCCTATCAACGTCTTCCTCAGCTTCAATCACAATAATACACGGGAAAACCTATACAAAGTCAAGGTAAACCACTCCAAACTCAATTGCAGAACAACTTCAGCAACAGAGTGGTCAATGTCTGGAATGCCCTACCCAACTCCATTGTTACAGCCTCAAACACTCATAGCTTCAACCTCAAACTGACTACCATGGACTTCACCCCATTCTTAAGAAGTCCTTAAAGGGGGCATGCATAAGTGCACCAGTGTGCCTACTGTCCCTGTCCTACTGTCCCCATTTATCTGTATTTACTTCCTTTGTTCTTGTTTATGTTCATACCTGTACTTGTTACCTTGTACATGTTTGACAAACAAACAAATAATAATAAATAAATAAATAATAACTCTGATGGGAACTTGATCTTTTGAATCACACAGTACTTAGAACTTTAAAAATCCTACAAAATAAAGAGCAGGATGTGCTCTCTGTTGGTAGCCAAAAAAAGAGGTTGCCATATATCAGTCTACAGTCTACTAAAAATGATAAGTCTTGCTTGATCAATGTGACTGAAGAATTTATTAGCAGCCTTGTTTGAATAGCTCTCAAACAGGAGAAAGCTACTTGAGAAAATTCAAGAAAAGCTTTATGTGCATAATAGCCCCCAGTTCTTCAGAACACCCTTGGTCTTAACTATTGCTAAATTAAACTAAATCACAGCATAGCTTATGGTTTCTCCTCTACAGCTGAGTCAGAAATATGGACCGGTATTCACTATCTACTTGGGCTCTACACCAGCTGTGGTGCTTTATGGACATGACGTTGCGATGGAGGCCTTGGTTACACAAGGAGATGAGTTTACTGACAGAGGAGCATCTCCCATCCTTATGAAAACCACCAATGGAACAGGTTTGTTTGAAGGGGTTAATCGCAAAAGAGGCCAAGTCTACATAGGCATGACCAACTCTCCAGACAGAACAAAAGTAGATTTCGGAAAACAACTATTCTTGCCTCAGTGACTGATTTTTCAGCCACAACATTACACCCAACCTCAACAACGTGGGTAGGGAATCACTGTGCCCTCAGCTATTGTTGAACTTTGAATCCTAACTATTGGCTATGCTTTCTGGAATCACTAAGATTTATGATTTAGCAATTACCAAAATACTACGGGTCTCCCATCACTTAAAAAGAGATTGGACAAACATTTGTCTGAAATGGCATATAGGGATCCCTCAGTGGTGGAATTCATTTTTTTTTTACTACCGGTTCTGTGGGCGTGGCTTGCTGGGCATGGCAGGGGAAGGATACTGTAAAATCTCCAGTCAGAGGTGGTATTTGCCGGTTCTCTGAACTACTCAAAATTTCTACTACTGGTTCTCCAGAACTGGTCAGATCCTGCTGAATACCACCTCTGGGTTTCCTGCCTGAGCAGGGGGTTGGAGTAGAAGACCTCCAAGATCTGTTTTTCTGTTACTTCTTTAGAAATCACTCTCACTAGGAATCTCATAAACCCAGCTTTGTCCACTGGACTTCTCCAAGTCCTCCATGAATATAGACTAGACTAGACTAGACTAGACTAGAATAGAATAGAATAGAATAGACTAGAATAGAATAGAATAGAATAGAATAGAATAGAATAGAATAGAATAGAATAGAATAGAATAGAATAGAATTCTTTATTGGCCAAATATGATTGGACACACAAGGAATTTGTGGGGGAACTGATTGATCTTTAGAGTCATAGCATACTTCCTTTCTGAGATGGCTTAAATAGAAGTGTTCTAGATTTTTTTTCCACAACTCCTTGAAGCAGGTTGGGCTGAAAGAGAATGAAAGTGTCCACAGACACTTACTGAATTGGTCTAATAGGAACATGAACCTAAGTTTAATGTTTTAACATTACACTATTTATCTGTCCTAAAATGATAAGAGATGATAAGAGCCAAGGAAAGCTAAATTTCAGGTGGAAGCACATATTCCATAAAAATGTGATCTCTTTTTATCAGTTAAAACCATTGTCTAATCCAGCAACTGGTTTGTAGAGAAGCAAATCAAACTTTCCAACCATTTGCCCATTCAAAACCTCCTTTATTGCTTGGTCTCCTGATTCTTTATCTACAAAGTTTATTAGGAGATTTAGGAGCAAAGAAAAGGAGAAAGATATACTAACCATACACATTACCTTGATAGTGAAAAGCAAGGGACAAAGACATATGGGCTGATCAGCTATTCCAGACTAAATGAGCATGTAAACATTAATTATGAGACAGGATATGGAGTTCAGGTCAAAGAATAGTAAGCCAAAGGGATAGTCATTTAATTTATTTTGTTGAGAGGATCAAACTTTTTTAGAGGGCAAAGGAGGTACTTCCTCTGGGTTCCTTGCATTGAGAAGTTCACTGAAGTCTAATTCTGTATTTGAAATGTTCAGATAGATGTTTTATTAAAAATAAAGGTAAAAAGGTTTCCACTGTCCAGTCATGTCTGACTTTAGGGGAGTGGTATCCACTCTGCTTCCTAGTCAAGGAAGGCAGTATTGTCCAAAGACACTTCGATGGTCATGTGACCGGCATAACTATATGCCAAGGTGCACAGAACATTGTTACCTTCCCACTGAAATGGTACCTATTTATCTATCATGATGGCCCAGTGGTTAGAATGCAGTACTGCAGGCTACTTCTGCTGACTGCCGGCTGCCAACAATTTGGCAGTTCAAATTTCACCAGCTGAAGTTTGACTCAACCTTTCATCCTTCTGAGGTCGGTAAAATGAGGACCCAGATTGTTGACGGTAATATGCTGACTCTGTAAACCACTTAGAATGGGCTGTAAAGCACTGTGAAGCAGTACATAAGTAAGTGCTATTGCTACTTGCATTTGTATGCTTTTGAACTGCTAAGTAGGCAGGAGTTGAGGCAAATAACAGGAGCTCAACCCTGTCGTGCGCCACTCAGGTTTTGAACTGCCTACCTTCAGGTCAACAAGCCCGTCATCTTAACCGCTAGGCCACCACGCCACCTTTATTCAAGACAGCAAAGCTATTCAGTTACAGCAGTGTTTTTCAATCCCAGAATTAAAGTTGCCAAATTGATAAAACCCTGACTTAAAATACCTCAGCAAACATCATTTCAAGTCTTCCACCTGCCCTCATCATTACTTGAATATTGATTTCAATACATAAAAAAGAAATGGAGAAAAGTTACATTAAATGGGACATAATGAGAAAAATGTATGTGGGGGGGGGGGGGGAATCTTCCAAAGAACCTTCTCCCCCAGGTTTCTCAAGCCCTTAAAAAGACCCTGAAGGAAGTGGTAGGTGTAATTTAGCCTGTGTTGAAAACAGCTGAATGCTTGCTCTTCAATTGTACCTAGTTATTATCAACTACTTATCTGCACTGAATTCCTTTCTAAAGACTTTAAGAAATACACAATGACCTGGAAGGGATTTCAAAACAAAAGGGGATTAAAATATACATGAAAGAGCTGAAAACAAACAACCAGCAACCCTTCTCCAGTGAAAATGAGGCTAAGATGCAAAGAGGATTTTAACTCTGTTAAGCATTTAAACATTTAAACAGGACCTGAAGTTGGAATAGAAAAAATATTTTATGTCAGTTTTTTTAAAAAAATTAGTAAGTAGATGTACAACAGTTCATTTAGTGACTGTTCAAAGTCACAACGGCATTGGAAAAGAAGTGATTTATGACCATTTTTCACCCATCTGACTGTCGCAGTATCCCCATGGCCACACGAACAACATTCAGATGCCTAGCAACTGACTCATGGTTATGACAGTTGCACTGTACCAGGCAGTGGTGGGCTTCAAAAAAAATTACTACCGGTTCTGTGGGCATGGCTTGGTAGGCGTGGCTTGGTGGGCATGGCAGGGGAAGGACACTTCAAAATCTCCATTTCCACCCCACTCCAGGGGAAGGTTACTGCAAAACCCTCCCCACTCCACTAACCTGCTTTCCAGCTCTGTTCTCCTGTGCAGGGCAACAAAAGAAGACCCAGCCGATCAGCTGGGACTCGATGGGAGGCAGAGAATAGATGGGGGCAGGGCCAGTCAGAGGTGGTATTTGCTGGTTCTCTGAACTACTCAAAATTTCCACTACCAGTTCTCCAGGACTGGTCAGAACCTGCTGAATACCACCTCTGGTACCGCGGTTATGTGATCACCTTTTGTGAACTTCTCACAAGCCAAGACAATGGCGAAGCCAGATTCTCTTAACAACCGAATTACTAATTCAACAGCTGTGGCAAGAAAGGTCATAAAATGCAGCAAAACACACTTAATAACTGTCTCAGTTAAAAATGTTAGGCTCAACTGTGGTCATAAATCGAGAACTATCTCTACATCTGAAAGAATTCATCACTTATGCAAGACTTATCAAGGAAAATACTAGATGTTGCTCAGTTGGTCAAGTTTCTGATTAAAGAACTAAGTTAGTGCCTCTAGCATAAAAAAGATTGAAGAAGATAGTACGGATGTTAACATATTCCTGACTGATGTTGGAGATTGTAACAGGCAAAACAACCTCAATATTAGAGGCATGAGTGAAAAAGCTGAGATCACTAACATGATAAATCATGTAGTAACAAAACACAATGACCTCCTCCTCTTTATTTAAATAGGACATATAGTACTGTAGTACTTACACATAGCATTTCACATACTCTTACAGACACACTTTCAAAAGTAAAAATATCAAGACATTATAATTAAGTTTTCAAATGAATCTACCAGAGGCGATTTAAAAGGAAAATGTAAAAATGTACTTTGGTGGCATCAAGCCCCAATAGAAATCTCACATGTATCTTCTCAATATTCAGTGAGATGCTGGCAAGACTGTAAATCAAAGGGAACAGTCTTTCACTTTTACCTGGAATGTGATAAAGTATCAGACTTTCAGAGGAGTGTGTTTAAAGAAAGGTTACAAAAAAAAAAATCAATTCCGCCTGAAGCTAGATATGCTATATATATTTGATGGCCAGAATCAGAAACTGCAGAGTAAAAAAATATTATTATTATTATTATTATTATTATTATTATTATTATTATTATTATTATTATTATTATTATTATTATTATTATTATTATTATTATTTTAGCAACATATTAATCATTGCTGAACGATAGAAGCCAGTCTGGTGTAGTGATTAAGGCATCAGGGTACAAATTGGTAGACTATGAGGTCTAATCCTGCCATAGATCCAAAGATAGTTGGGGGACCTTGGGCCAGTCACACAACCTCAGCCATAGGAAGCAGGCAACGGCAAACCACTTCTGAAATCCTGTCAAGAAAACTACAGGGAATTATCCTGACAGTCACTGAGTCAAAGGTACCAACTCCCACCTCCACCAAATTAGAACTATGTGGATATTTCATTGGATGGATGACTTGAAAAGATATAATGATGAACCAATGGCATGCGTGCCAGAGGTGGCACGCAGAGCCCTCTCTGTGGGCATGTGAACCATCGCCCCAGCTCAGCTCCACCATGCATGCACACGTATGACTCCTGCTGACCAGCTGGTCTTTGGGTGTCTGCCACGCATGTGGGGGGGGCAGGGCACATGTGGGGGGTGCATGCGTGGGGGAACCCTTGCGCATGGATGGGGTGGGGCACAGTCTTGGGAGTGGGGCGCATGTGCAGGGATGCGCATGCATTGCGATGCATGTGGATGTGTGGGGCAGGATGCATGTGTGGGGCATATGCATGGGGGACGTGCACGCATTGCATTTTCGGGATGCGTACATGCATGCTTTGGGCACTCAGTGCCGAAAAGGTTAGCCATCACTGGTCTATAGTTTTACTTGAAAAAGTTCCTGGTAAAATATGGCAAACCACAGCATTGAATCATTGTTTTAGAACAAGGGTGTCCAACCCTGGCAACTTTAAGACTTATAGACTTTAACTCCCTGTATTCCAGGGGTGGGATTCTACCAGTTCGCACCTATTCGCTAGAACCGGTTGTTAACATTCTAAGCAGTTTGGAGAACCGGTTGTTAGAAGAAATTACTGGCCTAATCCTGTAAGGAAGGCAGGAAGGAAATATTCTGGTGTTGCTTACAGAAACTGCCTCTCCGTTAACTCTTATTACATTCTTGGCAGGCCTAGACTTCCTGTCTCAGGAACGTCTCTAGAGTTTTTTTCCCCTCCTTTGCTGGTACTTTGCTTGTGTGGAGTGACCATTCAAAGTTACAGTGGCACTGAAAAAAGTGACTTATGACCATTTTTCACACTTACGATTGTTGCAGCATCTCCACAGTCATGAGAGGCCAGGCGAGGAGATGCATGCCTCGATGTGAGTGATATTGAGTTGGCCACACCCATCCAGTCACATGACCACCAAGCCATGCCCACTAAGCCACGCCCACAGAACCGGTTGTTAAAAATTTGAATCCCACCCCTGCAGTATTCCCCAGCCAGCATGGAAGAACTTCCGGGAGTGGCCTTCTGTGGCCTTCTGGGAATTCAAGTTCACCAGTCTTAAAATTGCCAAAGATGGACACACCTGTTTTAGAAGGTGGAATTTTATTCATTATGTATGTAAGAAAGAAGCCTCCTGGAAACATATTTTTATCAAATATTGTGGGCATGCTGAAATGTAATAGCAATGAAATGTAATATGTGAATTTTTGAAGTTCAAATAAACATCTAATTGGGGGGACAGATGAGGTGGTATATGTTTGATTTTTTGTTTGCTTATTTGTTTCTTTGAAAACCAAGCATAGTTCAGAAGAAAGAGCATTGGTTGGTAGTTACTGTATTTGCTAACCTGAAACAGCTTCCAGATTCAATATACAATTTGAAAAGGCTCAAATAGCAAAGGATAGGCAACACTGTCTGGTTGTTGGGTGATTAGAGAGAACACTGTTAGATCAGAGGGTCAGAAAGCTTAATTATTTCCATAGTATAACATTGTACATTGCATTGCCTCATATTTCTCCATCACAAACAATTGGATAAGCAGCACAATATTTTTTTCATTAGCATTATGAAAAATACACTTGTTGTGCAACGTATGTTAAGAAATCCAGAGACGGCCTTTTCACCGTTGTGAGCAATCTCTTCTTCCATTCATTTTCATTTCTTTGCTCTCTTCAGGAATTGGCTTCAGCAATGGAGAAACATGGAAACAAATCCGTCATTTTGCTGAGGCCACACTGGACATGTTGGGCATGGGCCAGAATATTGAGAAGAAAATCCAGAAAGAAGCTGGTTTCTTAGTGGAGAGACTGAAGAGCACAAACGGTGAGAATTCAATTCCTTGCTCAAACTGGTCTTCTCTAGCAAACCTGTTGAAGTAGACTTAAGAAGCAAAAGTTTAAAAAGTAAGGAAAAGGCTAGGAATACTTGGAAGCATTCCGAAAGGTATAATGGATGTATAAGAAAAAAGTACATCTACCCAGCAATGAAAAGTTAAGAGTTTGCTTTTTAGATTAGAGCAGAGATTTCCAACATTGGCAACTTTAAGACTTGTGGATTTCAGCTCCCAGAATTCTCCAGCCAGCCATGGGAATTGAAGTCACCAGGTCTTAAAAGTTGCCGAGGTTGGATATCCCTGGATTAGAGTGTAGTAGTCTAGGATGTTCATCCCTCCACCTTGGAAATATTATATTTGTCCATTGGCAGGAAGGACATTTGATCCCACCAGTTTCCTCAGCCAGACAACAACCAACATCTTATGCTCAATTTCCTTTGGGAAACGCTTTAATTATGAGGACAAAAATTTCCTGAGATTCCTTCACTTGTTGGATGAAAATGCCAGCCTTCAATCTAGCACAATGACAAAGGCAAGTATAGGAGGGGATTCCATGCAATGGAATTTCCATTCCAGATGTCAGGGGCATAACCCTGCAAATATTAGAAATGTGGAGAGAAAAAGAATTGGTATTTCTCCCCCCACTGTAAAAGAATTAATGCTGAAATGGCTGGCTGTGAACGTCTGGGAGTTGAACTCCACACTTTTTAAAGCTGCTGAGTGACAAACACCAGTCTAGCACATCATAATAACCCCCCCCCCCCCTTGTCTTCACAGCTGTACAATATTTTTCCAACAATCTTGGATTATCTGCCCGGATCTCATCAGAAGATATTTAAAAATACAGAGGAGTTAAAACAGTTTGTGTCAAGGCAGGTGGATGTGCACCAGAAGACCCTGCAGCCTGAGCATCCAAGAGATTTTATTGATGCCTTTCTTATCAAAATGGAGCAGGTAATGGGCATCAAAGGATCTCTGAGGCAAATCCTCAGGTCAAGCTTGTTTAATGGCTAAGGTAAACAGCCATGGTAGCAGGACGTCTGAAGGAGACAACACTCTATAAACACAGATCTTCATTCTCGATCTTATATTTTCCAGAGCATAGATGATGGAGGGAGAGCAGAGGTGTCTAACTAGTTTTGGTGTACTGGTATCGAAAATTTTGACTGGTGCGGAGAACCGGCAAATACTACCTCTGGCTGGCCCCACCCACCTGCTCCCACTCTTACCTCTCACCTCTCACCTCTCCTATTTTCTGTTTTTTATTAGCTCAGCTGATTCGCACAGCAGAGTGGATTGCTGCGCCTTAGCTGATCTAAAAAAACAGCACAGCTCACCATTGTTGATAAACAGGGCAGTTTCTAAGCCCTTTTTGTGCAAGCGAAATGCGTGTTTGGTGCGTGCGTGCATTAGGCATGCCTGCACAGCTCACCACGTTGATACAGAAGGCGGTTTTTGAGCCCTGCACATGCATGCGCGAAGCATGTATTTTAATGGATGATGGCAACAGATGACAGCATCTGATCTTTACTTTAAGATAAGTAGGATAAAGTAGGCTAAGTAGGAATGGACCTGAATAGAATTAGATGGGCACTAAGAAAGCTCAAAGCTGTTGATTAGACTAAGGAAAATTAAAAATCCCAGAAAAACCTAGTGACAAATACTGTAATATCTATATTGCAGAAGAGAATCATTCCCTTTGCATTATGTTGAGGCACAATGTAGAGGAGAGCAAAGAGTGGTAGGAAACCCCTTTCTTTTTCATCTTGTTCCTATCACTACTTCTGGATTGAAGAGGAGGAGGGAAGGGCAGTGTGTTTGGGCATGGTAGACAATACTAGTAGTCTTGGGTTGTAGGAATCTATTGGCTTTTTATAGTAAAAAAAGTGTGAGAAAGAAACCTAGAGTTTGGGAAGATAGCATCTCCATATGGGTCAGCTCTTCAGTGCTCAATTCCGGGCTGCACTTACAAACCCTTGCACCCTTTGTGTATCTTTTTATAATCACAAGAAAATCTCACTTACGTCTTTGCATAAATGCATAAATGGAAAAGTTATTGCATGTTATGTAAGGTTTTGAATATTGTTACAAGAAGGATTTGCAGTGGTTACACTGGCTCTATAGAACGGGCAGATTCTCGTTGGTGAGAACACTTGTCTCCTGGCCCTACAGCTCTCCCTCCTCCTTGGTGAAGCTCAGGTGTAAGGATACCTGGCCTTATGTCATCATGTTTGATTGACCCAGTGAAGACAGTAGTTTCAGGGAAGGACTCCACTAGGCTGGGATTTTGTAAACAGCACTTCATTTTAAAAAAAACTAAAGCCATAAACATACATTAAAGCCAATAGTTTGTTCAGTTTGCACTATTACATCATTATATAAATGACACAGCTTGTGTAATTCTTTATGTTTGTCACACCAATTGCACAACAATTAGATGTGGATGGTGTCACTTGCCCCTTTTGTTCCCCTCAACCCCCAACGCCCACAGGCTCAACTTCTGCCAAAGCTGTCCTCTTTCATCATTGCTCAGCTCTTTCCTAACCATTTTGGAGGAAAAGAGTAAAAAAGGAGAATTAAATACCCTTTCTGCATTTTTTTTTACGTGGGGAATAAGTGGAAGACAGGAAGCAATGGGTTAGGGTGGAATTTAATTGCCAGTGAAATAATAGCACTCAAGTGGAAAATGGGTTAAATATCACGTTCCCCACCACTTCTCTTTCCTGACCAATTGAGGAATGTTTGAGGCCAACACAAATGTTTAAAAGATTTGTTTTCAACTTTTTAAAAGTGTCAAGCAGGCCAGGGAAGGATGATGGTAATTTACCTTCAGTCTTCTTTCACCTCTATATCTAAAAGTTACAGGTATTATCTAACGAAAGTAGGTGGAGGAGAGTGTGTCCTTAGCCTCCAAAAGTGTCTCTAGAGATTACTAGACTGTTCTTGAATTACTAAGGATTGGTACTGCACAACTATTCTGCATGTGTTTCTTTAATCCTTTCCCTCATTTCCCGATTTCTTTGTTCTGAGTTTGTTATGTTTGGAACACCATATATCCAGCTGTTGATTAAAACATTCCAATCCTGTGAAGTACAACAACACCCTTGGATAAAGAGATGTAAGATGTGTACATAGGCACATAGAGATGGGACTCATATTGCATTAAGCCAATGTTTGCTTAAGCATAGTTTACTGAATAAATTACAATTCATACAACACATTGCCTTAAATTATGACTTACAAATCTCAATGGGTTCATACAACATTCTAAGCAAAAAAAAAAAAAAAAGATATCATATATGTGGATGTGTGAATTCAGATTTTGTGTGATGGAAACCTATAAACTCATAAAGTAAGAGTTATTTTGTTTAAGAACAATACCGATCTAAATATTTGTCCTCTATCCCAACACTGTGTACAGGAGAGACAGAATAGCCATTCTGCCTTTGATCATCCCAGTTTGGTGAGAAGCACCTTAGACCTTTTCACTGGAGGAGCACAATCAACCAGCCTTGTCCTAAAGTATGGACTTCTGGTTCTCATGAAGTACCCCAAAGTACACGGTAAGATAATAATATTGGATTTGCCTATTTAAGCTTTATAGAGAAGTGTACCATCCATGGTGAAAACAAACGTAAACTCAAAAGGCCTACTTTTCTGTGTTTGCACTAAGGGATTTCTTTTGTTTTTGTTTTTTAAAATAAATATCATGTTGCCCTGAAAATACGACCTACCCGGAAAATAAGCCCCAGACTGTTTTATATGTATGCGCCTAATATAAGCTCCAAAATAAGCCCTAGTTAAGACCCCACCCACTCCATCCCACCGCCTGGTTGTATGAGGTGGCGCGAGATGCATGTGTAAAAATCAAACAAGGGCAGGGGTGGGGGGGTGGACCTGCCCCATGCACCCCGCACCCACATACCTTAGGACTGCCACAGCCAGGACTCCCGCACCCCGACACCTGTTGTGCTGCTGCCCGACTTCTTCTGTGGCCGCTCTGCATCCTGCTGTGAGTGGCAGCACCGGCATGATGAGCTACACAGCGTCTGGCCGCAAAAGTTGGGCAGCAGTGTGACAGGTGTTGGGGTATTGGAGGCCTGGCTGCGGTGGTCCTAACATAAGTGGGTAAGACATCCCCCCCAAAAAAAATAAGACCTGGTGCTTATTTTGGAGCCCAAAAGAAAATAAGACCGGGTCTTATTTTCAGGGAAATATGGTATACAAACATTGTATTAAAATGCCAAGTTAAAAAGAAACCAATGGCAAAAAGAAGTTGAAGAAAAACAGAGTAAAAATGTGAAGGTGTAAAACAGAACTATTGTTACTCATTCATTCACCATTCAATTTTGAATAGTTCTGCAGCAAATACAGGTAACATTTTGTCAGAATTTATTTAAACTTTGCAATCAATGATTAGTGATTGAAAACATTATACTTACATTTTATGTAATGGAGACACGGAGATCAAAATTCAGAAATAGCCTGATAAACAGGATTCCATACATACAGTATACTGATAAAAATTGTTTGAAAGCCAAGCAATACCATGGCATTTTATCTGTTAGATAAAGATTCCACTGTGAGATTCCAGTGTACCAGAATATTCTCAGGTGTTCTTAATATGGAGAACTATGCAGATGTCTTTGCTCAACTATGGAGCCAACTCTGCAGGGAAGTTTGTGTTACAATCCACATTTTTCTATCCAGAGAAAATTCTTCAAGAAATTGATTCCGTGATTGGCCCATCCCAAACACCCTGCATGGCAGATCTTGATAAGATGCCCTACACTGATGCTGTAATCCATGAAATTCATCGGTGCCTAGCTCTTGTGCCACTGAATGTGCCACGTGCTGTGATCAAGGATACTTTCTTCAGGCAGTATTTCATTCCCAAGGTGAGTCTAGCTGCTACATATAATCTGCAAGTAGAGATTTGGTACACATCTGCCATGTTCTCATTCTTTCTTAATTAGCAGGCACATTATACTTGTTAATTTGGCATAAAAGACTAAATGGATGAGAAATGCACCCATTTGATTTAAATTGCAGTATCAGTAAATTTAGCTTTTGGCTTGGTTTCACCTTTTTTTAAAAAATTACTTTGGGCATGTCATTTCAAAGCCAGACTCATCGCTCAAAACAAATTCACGAATGAAAGCGAATATGTGTCCCTGGATAATTGTTGCAGGATCCAATCTGGGTCAGTCACTGGGACTAGAGGTTTTATCTTCCAAGCTTTCAGACTAGTGCTGGAGCCCATCTTCAGGGAACTTCTCTCTAGCAGTCTAGCAGAACTGTGTGCTGTTCTGTATGTGGTATTTATAGTGCCTGTTGTATCTTTTTAAGATGTTGATTGGGATGTGCTGATGGCTGGCTTTTAAGTCACTAGCTGTCCTTTGCTCCTGCTGCCCAGTCAAGTACTTGATAGGCTGGTGGTAAATCAGCACTCCTGTTGACTGAAGTGGGGCCTGTTTCCCAGGCTTCAATCACAAATTGTGTCACTCTGCCATAGGGCATTATTTCACAGACTGGTAGATGCACTCCCAAAGGAATTCTGGGAGTTGCAGTCCCATATGTGTGATTTTAGATGAAGGAGGGCTGATTCTCAGTAAGAATTCCATGCGCTTGTAACAGAAATATTTAACACTATTGCTACATGAACTATTCACATCAGTGTAATACCTCACTATGGCTGCATCCAGTCCCAATGCATCACTAGGAATGGCTGGTGGGTTCCCTATGCTTATATCCACATAGTCCTTGCTACAGGATTCAAAATAAGCTTTTGAGGGCTGTAATTTCACAAAGGCTGGTAGTAACTACTTGGAAGAGAGCTGTTTCTATGGGATACCTAAAACACGAATCTCCAGCCTCTCATATTACATACCTGGAATTATCCTACTCATTCTTAGGCATCACAGCAATTCTACCCAGGACAATTTTATTTATCTCAGAATAATAACATTCCATCCTGGTATACACTATGCTGCTAGTTGAGCTGAAACTCCCACAATTCTTTCATGGGTCTGCTTATTAAGAATTCTGCTGGTTATAGTCAGGATTATTCTAGAATACATATCAAAGCATCAGTGATGTATATTATTTGTTTTAGAGGGGTATCAATCCCCAAATCAACTACTCCAGCACAAAGAGGGACGTATGTGCATTTCTGTCAGAATGTTTTTCTCTTTGTTTCTTGGAAAAGAATCTCTCCAACATTGAACTTGTCATTGTCTAACTAGGGAACTACTGTATTTCCGGCTCTGAAGTCCTCTTTGTATGACAGTAGAGAATTCCCTAACCCACAACAATTTGATGTTGGTCACTTCTTGGACAAAAAGGGAGCTCTGAGAAAGAGTGAATTCTTCATCCCTTTTTCGACAGGTATAGATATCCTAATTTTAGAGCTGAAATCAAGGTTAATGCTTATGGTTTTTCTAGATCAATTGTATATTTTATTCACATTTTTGAAAGCAGAAATAGAAAAATAGCTCCAAATGAATGTAGAAAGGATTATCTTAAATGTCAAAAATAGCTATTAAATGCCTGGGGCTTCCCCCTGTATTAAGTTTGTTATATCTGATATCCCCATTGTTGGACATTTTACTCTTTTAAGCAAGCTGCCACAAATCAATTACTCTCTCCTCATTTTTGCTTGCAGGCAAGCGGGGTTGTCTCGGTAAGAAATTAACAGACATCATGATATTTATCCTCCTGACAACTATTTTGCAGCATTTTACTCTGAAGCCATTGGGGGATCCTGGTGACCTTGATACATCACTAACAACTGGATTTCTGACAGTTGCTCCTAAATCCTACCAACTCAGTGTTGCCCCTCGTTAAACAAAATCACTCAACCAACCATATGGCTCCAAATACTGCAACTGTTTTCACGTCAGACCATGAAGTTCCTGATCCAGTATCTGACATAAAGTGCTTGACAGAAAAGCAATTTCTTTGAATGCTCCTGTATTTTTGTCATTTTTTTTAGTTGCCTCTTAAAGTGCACGGTATTCAAAAAAGTGAAGTACAAATGCCTAAATAAATTTTCTAAATATGAAAAGATTTGGAGCAAGTGATGGTTATAATAGATTTCTGAGTAAAGGACAAGACCAGAATTGGATCCAATTATTTAAGTTCTTATGTTCTTACAAAAAGAAGAGGCAGAAAAATCTTTTTCTTACTACATGTTCTTTCTTCTTTCTTTCTTTCTCTTTCCTTTCTTTCTTTCTTTCTTTTCCTTCCTTCCTTCCTTCCTCTATTTATTTCTCTATTTATTTGTTATTTGAATTTATATACCCACCCACTTGATATCTAAGAAAATAGTATAGGAACATAAGCAGGGTGCTTATATTATTTTTTGATACAAATTTTGCTTTGTTCCACAGATCAACATTTTAAATAAAATACTATTATAATCACACATATTCATAACAACGCACATACTCAGCTTTGCTTTTTTTTTTTTTTCCTCTCTTACAACAAATGTTGCAGCGCCTCATTGGTTTTATTTGATCTTGGGGTTGAACTAAGCAAGATTGACCCTAGTTAAGAGCTTAAAAGAGTGCTTATCAGAGAAACAATAATTCAAAAAATGGAAAAATAAAAAACCTAGAAGAAGCAAATGCCAAGTCATTTTATATGGTTGCCCAGAAAAAACATGGATGTGTCCGACTCAGTTCAAGGCAATCTTACTTTTTGGTAGAGAAAGCAACAGAACTTGCAAGGAAGATTCAGATGATTGAGGTAATGGTCAGATCTCAGATATGTCTAAGGCACAGATGACAGTAGGAGTGATGCCTACCCTCATATCAAATAAATCAATATGCCTTCAATTATTCCAAATTTGTTCAATAATTTTATTGCAACTAGTGAAATTGATATGATAATATGCTTCATACTTGTTTAACAGATTAACAGAGTTGGAAGGGTCCTTATAGGTCAATCTAGTCCAACCACCTGCCCAAGCAGGAGACCCTATACTATTTCTGACAGATGGCAGTCCAGTCTCTTCTTGAAAGCCTCCAGCGATGAAGTTCCAACTTCAGAGGGCAAGCTGTTCCACTGATTGATTGTTCTGTCAGAAAATTTCTCCTTATTTCTAGGTTGAATCTCTCCTTGATCAGTTTCCATCCATTATTCCTTCTCTGGCCTTCGGGTGCTTTAGAAAATAGGTTGACCGCTTCCTCTCTGTGATAGCCCCTCAAATATTGGAACACTGCTATCACGCCTCCCCTTGTCCTTGTCTTCACTAGACTAACCATGCCCAGTTCCTGCAACCGTTCCTCATATATTTTAGCCTCTAGCCCCTAATCATGTCTGCTGCCCTTCTCCGCACTATTTTTAGAATCTCAGCATCTTTTTTATAGTGTGACCAAAACTGGATGCAGTATTCTAGGTGTGGTCTTTGTTATCCAAAGACATTTCTGCAGTCATGTGGTCAGCCTGACATCACGGGGCACCGTTACTTCCCACTGAAGTGGTACCTGTTTATCTAGTCAAATTTCATGCTTCCAAACTGTTAGGTTGGCAGGAGCTGGGGTGAGCTCACCCCATCATGTGGTGCTTAGGTTTCGAACCTGACTTTCCACTGACAAGCCTAAAGTCTTAACCACTGAGCCACCACATTGCCCTTTTTGGATCCATCACCAACTCTGGTTCTAAGATTTTGATCTCAATTCATCTTGCTATTTTATGGATTGGATCTCCATTGGACTAAAGCACAGGTGTCGAACAAGCCACGTCATGTTATCATGTGATGTATCACAGTGTTTTTTCTCTTGGCGGAGCTGGGGTGGGTGTAGCCTGTGTGTGATACATCCAGCCCGTGGGCTGCCACTTTGACACCCCTGGACTAAAGCATCACTTAAAATAACAGCTTCTGAGGCTTCAGTCCACTTCACTTCTGTACAATAATATAATTATTTTGATAGACAGTTACAGCTGCCTGCCATATATTTACATCTAATATAATATAATATAATAATATAATATAATAAATATAATATAATAAATATAATATAATATAATATAATATAATATAATATAATATAATATAATATAATATAATATAATATAATATAATAATATAATAAATATAATATAATATAATATAATAAATATAATATAATATAATATAATAATATAATAATATAATATAATATAATAATATAATATAATATAATAATATAAACATAATAAACAGTATCACCAGCTCCTTCTGTCTCAACTTTCTGTAAGGTTTCAAAATTCATATACTTTTCCAAAGGCTTGTATAAATGATTGTTAACTGCTACATTGTCCAAGAAGTGCAAATTTAAAAGTACTGGGAGATTATCCAACATAACTTGCATATTCTACTATTCAAAATCTTCCACTGATCTACACACAAGACCATGTGCATACAGCTAACCAAAAGCTGTTTCAAAGATATTCAAAAAGTTGCTTCTCTACTTACATAATAGTGCTTTCCCCACTTTGTTTGAACTTTTACATTAATATAAAAGCAAAGCAAATATATGCAAGAATTTGGTCACATTTTCTTGAATCTTACAAATGACAAACCAGTGTATTTACGGTATGTTTTCCATTTATATGATCACAACATATTAACCCTTCTTCCTATTCCTTTTTAATTTTAATTCTTTTATTTTGCTTGAAAGTGACCCTTTAAATTTAAATCAATCTATTTAATTTAAAAAGATCCAGATCTCATTGATAACCAGATTGGTGTTACTCCCCTGATGAGATTTTTTTTTTCAATACCAATTCCAATTCCAAGAATAAAGTACATAATCACAGAATCCTCAGGCTGGAACGGACCTTGGAGGTCTTCTAGTTAGAACAAAATAATCTGTAGTTGGGGTTGTGTCTAGAAGGAGAGCACTCAATTAACTCACTTTGGGGAGAACAAAAGTTGTCCAGTGTGCTATCTATGTAATGCCGTAATTATATCTTCGCATGAAACTCTCCTCTAGTTTTCTACAGGATAAATTACGAAACAGAGAGAAACTTCTCTCCCTCTCAAACTTATTCTACTAATCTCCTTAGGCAAATTGTGGACACCTATCACTCCAAGTCCCAATAAAATTGTGGAGGTGATTTAGGTCCCCTCCGCATATAGGCAATACTTGCACCCTATCCGTGCTCTCCACCTTTTACCGCCGCCCAATGGCAAATTGGAAGGCGGGACTTCCGGCGCCGGTTGCTAAGACAAGCACGTTTCTTTCCTTAACAACGGCAAGAAGTCTGGCTTTGGGGGGCTCGGGGTCGAGGTGACGCAGGTGAGACGTACCGCCGAGTGCTCGTTTGGGGCTCCCGGCGTGGACGGAGCCGCTTCTCGCTTCCTCCTTGGACCGGGCGGCGTTCACCGGCCCCACGCCTTTCCTTTGGCGGGTCTGGTCCTCCCGAGAGTGCCGCCCGCCGCTGCTTTTAGCCGGGTCTTAGAGGACTCCTTTCTCCAGAGCGGCTGGGTGGGACTGTCCCACATTCCAGCCCGTGTATGATCCGCGGGCGGAGGCGAGCATCTGAGCGGGGCTCGGGAAGATGAAGCGGCTCGCCTGGGTTCTAAAAGAAGGCAGCCGAATCATTGTTTCAGCCGGCTCTGCGGTTCTTCCTCGCCGCTCCTTTCGGAGGTGCGTGAGAGGAAATTCGGATTTACACTTAAGGTATACAGGCATGCCTTCGGTTAGGTCTGGATCTGAAGAGGTGGTTTACTCTCCCGCCGGCCTTGAATTGTGGGGGAAAGAGGGGGGGGATGAACCTTTGAGCATGTGCAGAGTGTCTGTTTGCCCCCACGAAATGAGTAGCTGGAGCCTAGCCCTTGCCTAGATAGAAAGCTTTCTGGGTCTGGAAATGTACTTTTTTTTAATGAATAAAATAGCAGGCCTTGTTATTTGATTATGGGTAGGAACTATAAGAAATAAAGAACTATAAGAGATAAGGAACTATTCTCCTTAGCAATGAAGTGGACCGCAGAATCTTATTTATTTTTTTCCTTAATATTTGACAAGTCATTCTATAAATGAAAGGGATCCAAAATCAAGTCACCCAAATGGATCTTTTGATTGTGCCTCAATAGGACATTGGATTGATTCTGATTCCATGTGATAGTCAGATCAAAAGTTACTACTATTTTTGTGTATCATCTGTATATCTAAATACACAGATGAGTCACCACCTCTAACCTCAGGCTATGGGTTTTCAAAAGAACAGAATGGTTGAAAGTTATTAACCCACAGTATAGTTTTTGCTACAATTGCCACTTGGTGAAACCGCGTTTCACTAATTTTGTGGGGAAACCACAGTGGGATAGTTTACTTGGAGGCTATGCAACCTTAATGTCTTAATGTCTCAAGATTATTGAAACAGTTGGCTTACAAAATAATTCAAAAACAACATAGCAAGAAAAGAATGATACAAAGATACAAGACAATATCTTTTATACAAAGATATGGCAACACAGTTTTACAGTTACAATATTTAAAAGATTTTTTAAATGTCCTAGTACCTCGAAAATCACTTTTCCTGTAAGACACAAAAAAATCTTAACATTAACAATTTTTTGATAGTAATGGAAGGTTATTTGCCTAAGATTCCAGCATTTGGATAGCAAGATGGTAATTCCTTCCAGTTTTTGGCGTCTCTTAAATTTTGTTTTCCAAGGAGGCAGAGTTACTGTCTGCATTTTTGTATTTTGATTTATTTTACTATTCATCCTTTAGTAGTTGCTTCTTACAATTTGCAATGAAAGATTTTTCATTTGAAATGAAAAAATTTTTTTAAATGTATCATATGCCAAGTGTATGGAGTATCTACCGTGTGTTGCCTATAAACAGCATACCGAATGATGATATGTGATATTTTTAGAAGAAATGCAGCATGTTGATATGCTTCTAGTATCACCCAGTATTGTGCCCAGATGATAGACTAATTCTTACTTATCCACATCTTCCATTATTTTTTATGGAGCTACAGAATAATGTCTTGGTGATTTGGAAATTCATTATTTGAAACCGGCTTACACTGAAAGATACTAATGTTCCCTCTAAGACTAATGTCTCTTACTCTAAAGATAGCTGATTTATAGATTCTCCAGGAAGAGATTTTCTTCTTATACTACACTTTAAATGTTTAAAATATATGATTGCACCAGATTGACCAAGTCATTAGCTGTTAATTCCACTGGGGGGAAAAGAGAGCTAAGCTAGTTCCTTATCTGAAAGAGTAAAAAATGTATACATGACTTGCTGTTTCTGAAACTCTGACTCCCAATATGGAAATTAACAAGTGGCAATAATTTAGTCAAATAGATCATCACAGGCACCATAATTCAAGTTTTTCATTATTGTAACTATTTGAAGCCTGCTTATTTTAACAATATTAGAATAAAAAAACCTGTAGACAAATGTAATTGTCATTTAAATGACCGCTTATTTTTATTCTCTTAAAAGGGTTTGCCTGTATTATATTCTAAATATTATGCTATATTGTTTTTTTCCTTTATTTTTCTATATAGCCAAAGGTATTTTTCCAAAACTGACCTGAATTCACATTGCTAGCCTATACGGGATTGGTTCCCTTCAAGATATTCTGCCCCCACTTGAAATCACAGTGGACAAACAATGGCAGACACCGGGGAGGGGAAAAAAGAAGAAGCAGATTATAAGAGACTTCACAGCTTTCCACTGATTAGGGTAAGGATGGAAGTGAAGAGAGATGATACATTCCCAATCAGGAAATACTGAAATTTGATGCTGTTTTTATATCTTAAATTTGCCACAAAATCTAACCAGAAGAGTGAGAGGAAGGACAACTACCGTAGTTGCCATAGTGACTGAAGAATTATTAGTTTATCTGTGAAAATCTGATTACTCAAGGTACACAGAGCACCCCTGATCAAAATGTGCATTTCTGACCCTCGTAGCTTAGTAAGCATCATCATCTTTCATGGCTCTTTTGTACGCTATCTAGCCATGTTTTCTATCGTGTATCTATGATGAAGAAATCTTTGCTATGGACCCAAGGAAGCTGATACTGCTTTGTGTTACATAATGCTTGCAAAGTTTTCTAATCAAGGAGAGTCTACTCTCCCCTCCATTTTTGAATGATGAAATGTGGCTCATTCGAAAGCTGGCCTAAGAGGATCATTCCAAGGTCTTAGGTAAGGTCAAAAATCAGGCTTAAGATTTTTGTATGCATGAAGATGGGAAAAAATTGGTGGTAACTACAACAGAGGAATGGCTGGTGAACATGATCAATATGCTTGAAATGGCTATTTGTTTGATTAAAGAGAAGACAGTATTGCATTTATTGGCGACTAGAAAACACTTAAGGATTTTTTGCATTAAAGACAAAAATGAGTGTTGACTCTTGCAGGCACTGGCTTGGCACAAATGGCTGCAGGAGAGAGGCTGTGAGAGTTTCTTCATTAACCATGACAAAGTGGCATGTGTGAAGCTTTCCCCCCTTGTGCGACATGTGTGAGAAAGGAGGGAGACAAGGATCACTGGGGAGAAAGTCTGTAGATTGCTATTCTTTGTGCTTAATTGTCTGTAATGAATAAAGGCAAATTTAGTGGGAGAGAATTGAATCCTTCTATTCATGTCTTAGCATCTGTTTATGATTTAATAGGCATTAACCAATCCTGACTTAATGCTGACCGAGATCCTCTATGTTTATAATTTTCCCCCAGCATTCAGACATGCCAGAAGAAATGCGAGTCGAGGCCATGGAATTATGTGTCACTGCATGTGAAAAATATGCCACCAACAATGAGGTACTGACACTAAAACCTGTATATCTACACCAGATATGCTTGAATTAATTTTTAACCACCTCTTCCTAAAAGGAAAGGTAATAGGAGAAGCAATAAATCTATGTTTTTATAGATTCTGATGCTATTTATATATATAAAAAGCAGTAATCATAGCTGGTATGAATGCCCTCTTTACCTCTGCCTTTGATGCCAAATCCCTTTCTATACTGAAATGATAATAGAGCATTTCCCCCCAACATGATCCTTTTATGTTAAAACTTAGCATTGCATAATATGATTATTGTTAACTCTGGTGATGTTTTTGTAACTGTCTCAGCAGTGTTGCATGAATGTAGCCCCCTCAGTTTGCACATAGTTGTTTCCGTTGGAGGAATTGGATTCAGTTCTTATTTAGGGCAGAAAAATGCCTGCTAAGTTCCATTCAAGCATCCAGGAAACTGTGTTCATCACGCAAGCGCTTTAGATTTTATTTATTTATATTTCCTATTTCTAAACCGACCATCTCCCTCAGAGATAGATAAACTGTGTTCCCAACCTATGTCACTCAGATGACATTGACTCCTACAGGCACTGGTTTAGCGCATATGGCTGCAGGAGAGAAGCTGTGGTGGTTTCTTCAATGATCAGGACAAAGCAGTACATGTGGGGCTTTCCCCGCCGGCACATTTGTGCAAGATGTCATTTAAGCAAGGTCAGGAAGAAAGTAGGAGTTTGTGTTCCTAATATTTCAACTGATGGAGCAAGTAGGATAAAAATATTTTGTTACTGTGTTAACTATTCTGGCAATAAGTACAGGTAGCCCTCGACTTACAGTCACAACTGAAACCAGAATTTCTCTTGCTAAGCAGGACAGTTGAGTCAGTCATGTCCAATTTCACCTTTTTTCTTTTTTGCCAGAGTTGTTAAGCCAATCACTGCAGTTGTTAAGTGAATCATGTGTTTGTTAAGTGGGTCCAGCTTCCCCTATTGACTTTGCTTGTCAGAAGCAGGCTGGGAAGGTAACAAATGATGATCACATGACACTAGGTTGTTGCAATTATCTTAAATGCATGCCAGTTAACAAGCATCTGAATTTTGATATGACCATGGGGGCGTTGCAATAATGAAATGAAGCTGTGGCATTTTTTCAATGCCATTTTAACTTTAAATGAAAGATTGTAAGTCCAGGACACCTGCATGCTAATGTACTCCTATCAACTGTTTTGTGAGTGATCAGGTATCAACACATATTTACCTGCAACTCAGGCTATTCCTTTGTGCAATCCTCAAAAAAAAAATCAAGTCAGATTTAGCTCCTGACTTCCTGAATAAGGACGTGGTTTTCATGGCAAGAGTACAGATGTGGCTTACTACTACCTTTTTAGAATGTTTTTGGATTTTTTTTCATCTAGATTACAGCCCTGTTCTTCCTGGATATCAAAGGCTATGGGCTGCTTAGCTTTGCTGCCCAACATTGCCCAGATGTATGCTACCTGCTGGAACAGTCCACACCTTTTGTTGTAGTAATTTTTTGTGAGATAAAAAGTACATTCCATTTTAGTAACTTGTTACTTTTTTTCCCCCTTTTGGTTTCTGTTCCCTTCCATGTCACTTTTCCTTCAGAGCGCTGCCAAGATGATCAAAGAGACAATGGACAAGAAATTTGGATCTTCCTGGCACGTAGTGATTGGGGAAGGGTTCGGCTTTGAAATCACCCATGAAGTGAAGAATTTGCTCTACATGTTCTTTGGAGGCAGCCTAGCAGTTTGTGTTTGGAAATGCTCCTGACACATTTTTCGCTGTTGAAGCTCATCACAAGCAGGATACTTTCCCCCCTAGACTTTTAATTGGTTTTGTACAATTTAAAGGGCAGCTTTATTTTTAATAACAAATAATATTGGGCTTTTTCTTATTTATATGCAAGTTTATGAGATATATTTAGTGTGTATCTGTAAATCTGTTCGAGCTACCTAATCCAGCTCATAAGTGTTTTGATTCTGATTTTACCAATGTGTCTTCTTGCTTAGAGGTGGGATTGTGCAAGAGCGATTGGGTTTATGAAGCCATACATTGGAGGTAGTGTGAGAATTTTAACCCAAGTTTGCTGCTACTTCTCCTTGCTATCCTTCCCACTTTCTGAGAGCAGACCCAAAAAGGCAGCTTTCGTTCTGCCTGGATGGCAGCTGCATGGTTGAGAAACCTAAGCCAGTGGATGGTTGCTGAAATGATTTTGCCTCACCACCTCACTACACCTAAAGAGCACTGATATAATTTGTGTAGCATATGATGCAGAAATAGAGATATTTTGCCTAGCATGGGGTGCGAATATCATGCCAATATGTTCAGAAACTGGTAATGGAAAGAATGGACCTGACCTGCCAGTTTCTTATACTTCTAAGTACAATTGTACTTCCATTTTGTAGGCTGATGCCATCAGAGGTGTTTGATTAATGGAATGATCCTAATTGTATTTTCTATATCCCTTATTAGAATTTGGAATGGAAAGGGGATTTACTTTTTGCAATAAAAACTTTTTTAAATGCATGACTCCTGAGATTCTAGAATTTTGTGTGCCCAGAAATGATGGGAGACCTGTATGTACCAGCTTTACAATAGGATAGGGGATCCTACTTGCAACATGACTGAATTCAGTGGTATCCTTGTTAATGCTTATGCCACAATATTGTGGGTCACCTCCAGCTTTCTTGAGAGCAATGAGCAGGATCGTATTCCTTAATTTTTAGTTTCCCTCTAGAGTTGATGGGCAATCCCAAAATGTGTCTTACTTAGCATATCCCAAATATGTGATATGCACTCATGAACTTCAAATCTCTGGTTAGCCTTAATGTCACATTGCACCATCCCATAAAATGGTTAACCACTACAGAATTATTCCACTGAAATGTAACAGGACAAATGGTTTATCCCTTCAGAAAAAGAAGCTTGCATACTTTTCCTTCTTTTACCCTAGTATCTGGCCAGCAAATTACGTACTATGCAACAAAACTGCTTCCCAGCACAAATTTTTGAACACAGTTGAATTGGAACCACTATCCAAGGATGTTCCCATTACCACATTAATGGTATTAGAATGTATCAACTAACCCATATGGCTGCATTTAAGCCATCCATCAGTTATCAAATAGCGGCCTTACTATCATATCATATGGCCTGATTAAACTGGATCCAGATAATCAACATCTTTCAAGTAAAACTAGAGTTAAGAGGTCATTGCCATCTTTGCCCCAAAATAGAATGTATGAGAGTAGAACTAGAGATTTGTTTATTTCAGAAAATCATACAGCTGTTCATCTTAACTGGGCAGCCAAGAAACAATATGTGAACATTATTAATAAAAAGCAGTATAAAACTATGTAGAATACATGATCCAAACTGGGTCAATCACCAGGACCAGATTAGTCTTCCAGGTTTAGAGACTCCTGATGGAGTCCATCCTCGGGGAACTTCCCTCTCACCAGAATGGGCTATTAGATGCATAGTATTTATGTGGTGCCTGGTTGTGTGTGGCATTGATTGTTGATTGGGGCATTAAATTGATTTTGTTTCCTTCTATTGCCAAGTCCTTGTTCTTCATCTAAGTGCCTAATAAGCTGATAAATTGGCACTCCTTTTGACTGACTAGGGATCCATTTCCCAGGCTTCAATAATTTCACTATTTTTGTACTGCTCAGCCAACAATCTTAATGGTATAAAATTCAATTTATGTCCTTGTTCATTGCAATGTGAGACTCCCAATGAGTTTGGATCTCCGTGTCTGACCACTTACTTATGTTCTTGCAATCTAGTAGTTAGCTTCCTCCCCATCTGCCCTACCAGAGGGGATCTGGTAGATTACATTGGAAATATCTCCCCCTTCAACTGATCTTTACAATGCATGATCTGTCCTCATATGGTAGCCTTTGGGCGGTGTGCAATGCCTGCTTGCATTCTACTGTTTGTGAAATGTTTTTGATGTATGGTAGTGTGCCATAAAGTTGGTCCTCTGCCTTCTTTCTTCTTCCCTGCGTGCTGCACAGGAATCTTGTAATAAATGCTTGTGGATATCCATTTGTCATACAGAATAGTTCATCCCTGCCCTCCAATCAATTTCTTTTGAAGCGAGGAGGAAAAATAAGCCATTTTCATTAGGTGCAATCCCTCCCAGACCAATTTTATCAGACAAAGGGGGGGAAGGTGAACAAAACATGGTGAGCATCTATTTTACATCTACATTTCTGAAATCTACAAGATGAAAAAACAAAACAGGACAAGCAGATGGCCAATATACCTGTATGATCTGCCCCAACAGTGGATCCAAGTCCATTTTATCTATGAATAAAATCCAGTATTTTTTCCTCGTAGCTCTAGGGCACAAGGCAAATACTCAGAAAAATTCATGGTCAAGTATGAAGTTGAAGCCAGATATTTTCAGGATAAATTAGACATCACAAGATTATTCTTCAGTGAAGTCAGCCACAAGTCACTTTACCAATATGGCGTTTTCTTTCTATGAAAAATTGGGGAAAAATAGATCATTCATGGTGCCAACAAGTGCATGCTACATCTGAAATAAACCTCATAACCCTTTGACATTGCCCCATGGAGGTACCTTATTTATTAGAACCAAGTTTAAAATAAGAGGGAAAGCCATCCAAAACCCAGAAGCCAAACATTAAGCAATAAACAATCATTTCTGTTCCTTGTTCCTAATTCCATCCCTGTTAATGTTCTGGAAATCCCACCAGACATGCTTATATCCTCAGGCCTGGAAATTGCAGGCCTGGATATTTTAAAATGATTGTCATTGTGGTTTATATTCATTTTCCCCTGTGCATGTGGTATCAGAATAGGAGAGTTGGAAGGGACCTCTGAGGTCTTCTAGTCCAACCCCCTGCCCAGGCAGGAAATCCTATACTATTTCAGACAAATGGTTGTCCAATCTCTTAAAAATCTCCAGTGTTGCAGTTCCACTGATTGTTCTGTCAGGAAATTTCTCCTTAGTTCTAAGTTGTTTCTCTCCTTGATGAGTTTCCACCCATTGCTTCTTGTCCTGCCCTCAGGTGCTTTGGAGAATAGACAGACCTCCTTTTCTTTGTGGCAGCCCCTTAGATATTGGGACACTTTATCATCCTTAGTCGTTCTTTTCATTAAACTAGACATACCCAATTTCTTCAGCAGTTCCCATTTTAGTCTCCAGTCCCCTAATCTTTATTGCTCTGCACTCTATCTATATCTAGAGTCTCAACATTTTTATACCATTGCAATAAGAAAAAATTATAATGTAGTTTTTATATCTCAATGATTGTTTTATATTTTTAATAATAGTTTTATACGTTTATTGTTTTACAATTATTGTATGGCCAGCCAGAGTCACTTTTTGTGAAATTGACAGCTGTATAAATTTCACAAATAAATCAGGATTTAAGATGTGTAACACCAGTTAGTAAACATATTTACTATTAATTTCTCAAGGGAACAATTTATTATTAGCACATTTCATCTTTATTTTGTACAATTTATTGCTGCAGAAATGATGCTCCTGTCTCCCATTTTCCCCATAATACCCAGTCTGTGAGATTGGATCAGCTAAGAGAATGAGCTCACACCAAACTGGCTCTTAATCTATAGAAATGCATAGTACTCTGGAATCTTTCAATTCTAGCAGAATATAAATAAGGAAAATATAAATACTTTTCATATATAATTCTATAGTGATACTTGATGAAATATCCAGGCATCTGGTTTAAAAGAAAATAACCTGCCAGTAAAAGGCTAATTTGCACTAAAAAAACTATGAACCATGAAGCAAACTACTCTAAAAGCCCAACTCACATTACAATGTGTAATAAAAAGTTCAAGTTGTTTCTCATAACAGCACTGGCTATTCTTGAATAACATGGTCTTCTAGCATAATACATTTACTAAGAATTGTTTCTCCCGACAGGATCCAGAGAAAAGTTTCACCCTCACCTCTGGGTTTAAGAGAGAATTTACTTTACCCCTCTATATTGGCCACTTAAAGCACCATCAGCCTTAAGAGGGCAAAGCTGAAAGGGGGAGATGAATTCCAGACATAGGTCCACCTCTAATTACAACTGACTGAAGTTGGTAATTCTGCAAGTGATAATTTTTTATCCATTGTTGTGGCAATGGATAAATTGTAGATTGGTTTTTTTTTTTTTTTCCCAAATCTGAGATTGTGGGAATTTTTAAAAGTATCCTTTCCAGATATGCTTTGAGGTCTGGTGGAGGAAAGGAACCCATTCACCAGCTTCTCAATCAAGTCAACAAAAATCAAAATCTACAAGGAAATAAACAGAATAAGAATTAGAAGGGACCTTGGAGGTCCAATTGCCTGCTCAATATACCATTCCAGACATGTTGCTCAGTCTTTTCTTAAAAGCCTCCAATGATGAAGCATCCGCAACTTCTGAAGGCAAAATAAGGTGGAGCCATTCTCTTAAGAATTTAAAAGTAAAGAATCTTTCGATGAATCCAAAATAACACAACCCAATGAATGGGATTATCAACAGAGTTTAACCTAAATAGGTACTTTACTTTGAAATTGGATGCATCACGGAAAAGTAATAGTCTCAGAGGTGCCTGATAGCCAGAATGTGGCCAGGAGCTTAATTAGGTAATATAAGCTGAACTAAAAGAGGTAATTTATCCACATGATAAAGAGTGAAAGAAAATTTACCATTGTTTTCTAACGGAAGAGCTGCTGCTTCAGACACTACATTTCTCTCATTCAGCAGAATCACTTCTGCAAAAACAATTTCATCACAGGCCATTTTTTGTAAGCAAACAAGTTATCCCTTGGGTCTGTGCCTAGAACAGAATAAAAAAAAAGAACCAACAAATGTTGATGTAAAGAGCTCAAAACAGTCAATTAATATAGTCACAGAGCAGGGGTCCCCAAATTTGGCAAGTTAAGACTTATGGACTTCAACTCCCAGAATTCTCCAGCTGGGTGTTGAAGTCCACAAGTCTTAAAGTTGCCAAATTTGGAGACCTCTGTCATAGACCTTAACCAGGCCTATCTGAACCTTTTTTTCGTGTAGTTGTTTGTGTGTGTTGGTTATAAAAAGCAAGTTCAGCTATAGTAAATTTTGTCACCTTAACCTCGTTTCTTGGTCATTTATGAAGAATTTATCGTAACAACTCAATAGCCGTACATCGAATGGCAGTTTCTACATAGGAATACAATCTAAGTTGAGTCTAATAACGAGGTATCCTTCCCGCCTGCCGTTGCCAATCCCGTAACAAAGCCCGGGATTTGCCCTTATAATATACATCCCGCGTGCCCAAAGCGTTGTTTCTCACGACAGGATCCGAAGGCGGAGACCCAACCCCGCCCCAGGTTTCGGTGAGAGCGCGCTCTACCCCCCTGTGTTGACCATCCTAAAGCACAGACTGCTTCGGAGGCGCGAAGTTTAAGGGGCCGAGAAAAGACGCGGGAGCTTCGACCCTTACCCTGCGCCCCTGCATATACCCTTCACGGGCAAGGCCTCCGGGCCTTCCCTTCGGCTGCTGGGCTTCCTGCGGGAGGGCCCGGCTTTCGTTCCCTTCGCCCGCCAGCTTCTTCTTGCGCCCCGCCATCTTCCCCGCCTCCCGCCGCGGCCTGATGCAAAGGAGCCGCAATTGCAAGAGACCCACGACGCCTCTCAGGCCGGGCGAGAAAAGAACGCGGGAGGCGCCCGCCGGGTTTATATAGCCCAACAAAGGCGATCCCGCGAGACTGCCCTGGCTGAGAAAGGGGCGCGCAAAGGCGGGGCAAGAGGAAAGCAAAAAAAAAAAAAAGAGGAGGGGGGGCGGGATGTGAAAACCACCCGCGCCGGTTTTGCCGCGGAAGTGGCTGTGGGGGCTTCATTGGTTCAGCAAACGGGCATCGTCTACGCAAACGAGAATATCTTATTAAAAAATAAATATATGATTGGAAGCAAGCGCATAAATGTTCTTCCACTCCGGTTTTGAGGAGGGACGGATGTTTGGTGTAATTTATTTTGAAATAATATTAACCTTTGAGCGGTTTTGCTTCAAGAGGGAAGGAAAAACTCCCCAGGATTTCCAGGTCATGGTTGTCCCAAAGGTGCTTTTCAAAAGACAACTGGACTTTTTGGGGGGTGGGGTGGGGGGTTCCGTTGAAAACGTTTCGCTTCTCATCCGAGCAGCTTTTTCAGTTCTGGCTTCTGAAGAAGTTTCTTGGATGAGAAGCGAAACATTTTCAAGGGGAAATAAAACCGAAGAAAGTCCAGTTGGGATCTGCAAGATGGATGGAACAAAGCTGAGAGGAAGGCGCTTGTTTGTGTGTATGTGTGTTGAGCACATACCTGCCACGCAGTCTTACTCCATTGTTTTCCTTCGAGAAGCAGAGAAATCTTTACAACTTTTATTTTTACCTTTGAACCAAACCTTTGATCTGGTCGATAGGAAGATTTAACCAGAGAAGTGACAAGATTTTACTGCAACATGTATCCTGAATCTTACAAATTACTTTGTAACTTGCATATAGTTTTGTAAGTTACAGTTCCACCCGTTGTATAAGATGCTTCATGGATTTAAGTAAAAAGCTTTAACCTAGGGTTCATAATTAATACTACTATATCACAAAGATATCTGGCCAACGATGAAATATTTGTTTTGTGTCTGGACACTAGTTTTTGCAAAAAAAAAAAAAAAAAAGACTAAAGAGAATTTGGTGTTATAACCCTATACAATATGCAGTTCTATTTTCCTTTTAAAAGTTGTCTTTGATTAGCTGCACCTTCTCTAACACTGTAGTATTCATCTGAACACAAAACATTTGTTATATATATATATGTGTGTGTGTGTGTTAAGTTTTCGTGGGTAATTACATGTATGGCATTCAGCTTTGTTCGGCTATTTTCCCACGTCATAGTAGTTGTGCTTTTAAAGTTGTAGCGACGTTTTGGCAGAATCTCATCTGCCATCATCAGGCTTCTGTATAGTGTTCATCTGTGAGTCAGGCTTTTACAGTGGTTTCAGATTTGAATTTGGGGCAGCCTATTGCTGTGCCAGAATGGTTTTTTCTTCATCCTGATTGGTTGAGAGTCTTGGTCTGTGTTTATTGGTCTTGGAGTTTGCTGTGTTCTGCTTGATTGGTGTTTCTAATATCTTCTGTCTGTTTTTTGGCTCTTTTTGTATCTTGATTGGCTGGCAACATTGTGTTACTTTATTGGAGGCCTTTAGTGCAGCTTGGCACTAGTTCCTAACCCAGTTAGGAAGCTGGGTTTCATCTGGGTGCCTGGTTGGGGTGTGTTTGAGCTGGAGGTATCAGGGGGGATCTGTTTGTGCCCAGGTGTTTGCCTGGCTTGTGGTGTGGAGATTTTTTTGTTTGTGAGTGCAGGCTTCCAAATGATTGACAGTCTGGTGGAGTCATCTCTTCTGTTCATGCTTTCTGGTCTTTTTTCAATCTCTATGGCTTCTCTGATGATTCTGTGGCTGGGGTCTTCTATAGTGGTTAGGGTTTTGGTGCCATTGAAGTTGATGCTATGACCTGTGGCTTCCATGTGTTGGACTAGTGAGGAAGTGTGTTCCAGCTTTTTGACTGCATTTTTGTGTTCACCCAGGCGGGTACTTATTCTTCTATTGGTCTGTCCAATGTATGTGGCCAGGCATGATGCACAGGGGACTTCGTATATGCCTTGGTTTTCCAGGTCAATTTTATCTTTGGGGTTTCTGAGGATGGCTGCTATATATATATAGTGTAATTTGCAATCATTGATTCCATTTTCCGCATCAAGCACATTTGATATAATTTGCAAATCAGGAGTCATAGGATCATGCTTCCCATCAAAATTGCTTTACATTTTCTCCCTGTTCCAAACTTAACAATTCCTTGCTAGTTTATCTTTGTTTATACCACATATGGCTCTCATTGTTGTAACAACCATTTCTGTAATAATTCTACTACTTTTCTTTCACTTCTTCCACATCCATTTTTTTGCCAAGGCCCTCATATGGTACCATTGAACAATGGTCTGTCCCACACTAAGAACTTCTCATCCTTCATCTGTTTTATCACTCTTTCATCTTAACCATAGCCTTTATTTTGTCCCTTTTGGATGTGTTTTTAATATTGTTTTGAAATGTGTGTATCAAAAAATGATTCAAACAAAACCAGACCATTTTCTAAGCAGATAGTCATCAGTCATTAAGTTCTCATAACATCACTTGCATTGAACCCAAAGGTGCTTTTTAAAAGGCAACTGGACTTTTAACTTTTTTTTTCATTGAAAATCGTTTCACTTCTCATCCAAGAATCTTCAGTTTTGAAGAACTAAAGAAGCTTCTTGGATGAGAAGGAAAACATCTTCAAAGAAAAAAAACTAGGAAAATCCAGTTGCTTTTTAAAAAGCATCTTTGGGACAACCATAACCTGGATAATTATGTAGCTCCATAAACACTTTTATTGAAGGTGGCTAGAATGTAGGACTGAAACCAAGTACAACACTCCACACACTGCTATGAAACAATCTCTAGGTGACAAGGGCTATCTCTACTTCAACTCCTGGTGACATGAGCACATTATTCTGCTTTCCTGGGGACAAGACAGATTGTTTTCTAGTACCATATTCTTCTTCCAGGCTTGCTTTACCACACAAAATTATTAAAAGTGAAAAAAACAATCCATGTTCCTCAGTTCCTTAGAGCAAGGGTGGATTAAATATGCACATTCTCATCTTAATTTCTTTTTCCCACCAGAAAATACCAAACCTAGATTCATGCAAAAGAAAACCAAGAGGCTAAAATTCTGGTCATTTCATTTATTTAAAACAGACTTTTAGACAACAAATACAATGCCCTGGTTAAAGGCATAACGTTGACATTTCTGGCAGCTGGAGGGAACCGGTTAAATAATAGTAATGGTTTTAGATTCAACTTTGGCAAGTGAATCGATCTGTCCCTGACCAATGGTTATCTTGTGTATTTCTCAGGGATTCTGGGCCTTCCAGAGTTCTGAACTACAGTTTCCAACTTTCTCGGCAGTAGCATTTGCAGATGGGTCAGACTAATGAGTAGTGCTGTGGCATCACAATGCAAGCGGTGTCCCTTTTCTGTGAGCTTCATGACATCACACACAATACCCCAAAGGGTGGCACTTATGATCCTGCACTGAAATACCACTTTCATCATTCTGACAAAAACTGCAAACTACAGTGATTATTCCTCATAATTACCAACACTAAGACTGCTAGAAATTGTAATTTAGCAACTCCAGGAGAGCCCCATCACAAACATGGCCCTTTTAAGTGCAACTATGGGCAAAAATATACCTGTGAATAATTAAAGTGTACCACCAACCCATTACCGTTGCATTTGTTCAACTACCAAGTGATTTTTCACAGTTACAAGTAATCGGCTAGGGCTGTTTTTCCAGGAACTGATGGGTCTCGCTGCAGTTACCTAGGGCATCACATTCTCAGCTTCATGTTTATTGCTTCTCCCAATCCACTTTGTAAAAAGCAAGCACTTGAATGTAATCTTTGCAAGTATATCATGAAATCGAACCCCACAACTCTTTAGAAGAAGAAGAAAAAAAGCCAAATTGTGAGCAGAGATATGTTGCTGAAGAGCATATGTGATGTTTTGTGTTCTATCAGACGTGACCAACTGCCACTGAGCAGACCTCAAAGATGGATTACTCTAAGAAAGCAGCAAAATCTTTGACCTAAAGCCATTTGGGGGTGGGGGCACTTGCTTGTTCTGCTAGAGCAGCCTTTCCTGATATGTGATTGGAGCCAATTGAGAAAGGCTGCGTTGGAACTGCAAGGGGAAAAATAGGTAAGTGGCATTTCTGGGATTTCCAGTCCCCCGCAAAGGGGCTAGAGTAGAGGAGGCACTCACAAGACACTGTGCGTCTGTTTTACCATCTTGGGAGTTCTTATAGGAACTGCCGTGATTATGGCCTTGTTCTCACAATCACCAGATACAGCAGCACCTAGATGACTGTGCCATTTGAAAGCTAAGCAAGGGCTGGCAGAATGCTTCCCAAGCATGACCCTCTGTGCACAGAAACCATCCAAGGAATGAAGACAAAAAATAAAATAAAAACAGAACCTTTCTCAGCGGCAAAGTAAGTTTTCTATATACACATTGATTTTTCTTTACAGAGAAGCAGATCATCATACAAATTCCACAAAGAGACTTCAGTTGCATGTTGGTCATCTCAGTTGCTGCTTGAAAAAGATATACAGATAGGATGTTCTTCTCGGCTAGACGATTCAGAAGTTGACGGGGGGGGGGGGGGGGGGTGTCAGGCATCCATTGAGGCACACACCCTCGCCCTCACATAAGAACATCTCATGACACCAACTTCATGTTCTTTCTTAAACCGAACGCCATCAAGCAAATTGATGTTGTAAACTCTGCATCTGGGGAGTCCGTTGTCAATAATTAATTTGCAAAAACAACCCAGCAATGCAAACAAAACTGATTTCAAGATGTCACTGGAGTTTAACTAGCATTAAGACGCATCAGCGGGCAAATGGTTGGCAAGAGGAGCTCAGCTAATACTCACAAAACTTCAGAAAGGAGGACAAATAGTCCCCAATTTCTGAAGCAAAGAAATAAGACCAGCCAAGTTTTCCCAAGATTGGCTCTTGGCTTGTTTCAAGGCAACAGCTACTCCTAACAAAAAACAACACTGAATGGGGCGTACAAGGAAAAAA